TCATCCCACTCTTTAAATAGTGGGGAATCAGATTTACTTTCCTAGTTTTGTTTTATTCAAAGGGACCAAAGAATCATCTTTTTAGAGCTAGAAGGACCTTGGAGGAATAGGCTGGGAGGAAGGAGGGATTAGATGAGTGAAGGAAGAGAAGGGAAAGGAAGGAGAGAAGAAGGGAGGGAGGGAAGAAGAAAGAAAGGAAGGAGGGATGAGATGGGGGAGGAAGGGAGGGAGGAAAGGAGGGAGAAAAACAAGGAGGCAGGGAGGGAAGGAAAGAAGGAGGCAGGGAGGGTTGGAGGGAGAAGGACATAGTAGTCCCAGAGATTCCCAGGTACCTGAATATTTACCACAGCACAGTCCACAAAGCAATTAGTATCCCTATTTCCATGACTGAAAGTTGAAGGCATCTCTGTTTTGACTTTTCAGACTCATTTCGCATCTTTCAGAGGATGTTAGAAAGGTCAGCCTGCCCTTCCCCCGCCTCCCTCCTTCCTCAGGAGCAGAGACCCTGGCCTGCTGCAGGGGCCCTCCAGAAATGCCTTCCTGCTTGTCTTCACCTGTTAATTGTTTGCTTATTATTTGTTCTATTGACTCACTTTCTAAAATTGCATCTTTTGTAATTTAAAAAGCCATCCTAGGACTTTAGAGCAAAGCAAGCTTCCACAAAACATTTAGAAATGTCTGCATTTTTTCTTTGGCAGCAGGGTGGTCTAATAGACAGCTTGGCCTTCAAATCCCTGCAGCTCTGGCACCTGGTACATGTGTGACCCTGGGCAGTTCTTTAGAGCTATCCATTGCAGAGGGGTGGAGACCACTCTGGTGGAAGGAGCCTGCTCCTCTGCGAGCTCCTGATGCCAGAGACATCACAGGTGCAGCCTGGGCTTTAAGATTCGTCCTCACACCCTCAGCCACTTTCTGGGCTCACTTCTTATTCTGCCTTCTTCTGCTCTCCGTTCCCTGGGCAAAGTCAACCCAGTTATTGAGACTTGGAACAGAGACTGAGCCCTGAAGCTTTTCTGTCTGCCTTGCCTTCGTGCTCTGTGACTGGTTTTAGGATCAGTCAGTATGCCTTCCCAGTGGTTCCCAGGGCAGCCTGGTCTAGTAACCAAGAGTGGCCCCGGTCAGGAGGACTGCCTTCAGGTCCAGCATCTTGACCCGTACTGACTGTGTCCCTGGACAAATCACTTAACCTGAGTCAGTGCATTAGCCAGCCAGGAAGCTTTGATTAAGCATTCTCTAGGTGCCAGGCACTAGACTAAGTAAGCCAGCTCTGGGGATGCAAAGAAAGGCAAAAACACACATCCTGGTGGGGAGCAGTTCATGAAAATAACTAGACACGTGGGAAGTTATACAAAATCTATGAAGACAGTCAATGGAGGGACCTGACCAGGTGAGATTCAAGCTGAGCCCCAAAGGACTTCAGAAAAACAGAGAGACCAAGGTGAGGAGAGAGCCCACCCCCCACTGGGGGCACCAGATCTGAGGCCCAGGGGCACTGGCAGAAGTGCCAGTCTGCATCGGGAGAGAAAGTCCCTCATCAGGAACCGCTGGTCCAGTTTGGGGGCAGAGAGTGGGGCAGGGAAGGGCATTTGGTTGTAGCAAAATAGTCTGCTTAATTCTCCTGTTCTAACTCAGTGGAGCAGATAGCTGCCTTCCCTTCTCCCTTAGCTGTGGGTATATGTGCAATATGTGTGTACTGAGTATGTGTGTGTGTGGTATGTGTGTAGTGTGTGTGGCATGTGAATGGTACAATGGTACATGGTAGTGTGTGGGTGAGTGGGTATGGTATGTATAATGGGTATATATGGGTGTGTGTGTGTGTGTGTGCTTGTGAGGGCTGAATTGCTGAGTTCTCTCTCTTCCTCACCCAGTAACCCCACAAGAGATTACTGTATGATTCTTGGCTTCCATTCTGGGAGAATCAGGCTCCTTCAAAGTCATAAAAAGAGGGGGAAAAGTCATAACATTAGGGGAACACATGAACAAAAGTCCCCCAGGAAGGGCAGGCATGAATGGATAGGCGGGCATCTGTGCTTTTGGAGGGAATGCGCCCATCCAGAAGGTCCATTGGAATATCCCTGAGCCCCCATCATTAACTACTACCTGGCAGAAAAGCAGCAGACCCTAAGCCATGGGGCTAGACTGGCCTGGCATTCAGGAGCACGGAGGAGCAGGACGCAAGGGAACAGCATTTATTAGGCACTTCCTATGTGCCAGGCACTGTGCCCCATTCGATCAACACAACAACCTTGAGAGAAAGATGCTGTTATTTTACAAGTCAGGAAACTGTGAGAGAGTGTCTGAGGCAGGGTTTGAACCTGGCTCTTCCTGACTCCTGGCCCGGCACCCCTGGCCGCATGTGGGGAATCCCAATGTCAGTGCTGAAGCCCCTACCCCCATTCTGCTTACAGGCAGGACTCTGTGGGAAGGCAGAGCAGGTCACAAGCAGACCTTACCTTGGCCGGTGTCCCATTGGGGTACTGTCCTCCATTTACAGTGGGGTACGCCGGCTGGTTGTAGTTCTGTGAGACCAGGGAGGAGGGAAGAAAGATTTCCAACCCAGTTCATCTCTCTTACTGGGTTTCCTTGCTGATCGTCCCCTCCGAGATCACACCCTGAATCATCTCCCCATAATTTGGGATCCCTTCTCCCCTGTCTGCTTCCACATAGCCTGGAGCAGAGAAAGCTCCTTTCCATCAAGAAGCTTTCTCTAATTACCAATCCACTCCTCTGATCATCCACCCTTGAATTCTCTATCAATTGGCACATGTGATAATGGCTTTTTCTGGGTGCATCTTTTCCCATCAGACAGAAAGCTCCTTAAGAACAAGGATTATTGGTTTGGACTCTCTCACCGGATTTGAACCTGGCTCCTCAGACTCCAAGGCAAACAGACTTACCTGGTTTGCACCCCCAGCCCTCTTCTCAATAGAAGTTTCATCTGCACCCTAGAAAGGGAGAGGAAGGTTACTTAATGCTTCTGCCAGGCAATTCAGTTCTCACTTCCATCCCAGGACCTGGGGGCCAGCTGCCCAGCTTCTTATCACCTCCTAGAACCAAAGCATCCTGTCCTATCCTCTCAGTAGCCCATGGGTAACAGGAGCTATGCACACACAAGGCAGAAAGCCTGGCACGAAGAGGGCTGTCACCATTACCCCAGATAGATCTAAGCTGTCGATTTCATCACTCGGGGTGGGGGTAGATAACTAGTCTCAGCAACCCCACCCTCCTCACCCCAAACCCAGACACCTGGGTTCTCCTGGGTCTGAAAACATTTGAGCAACAGATGGAGAAACCTCACCCCCACACCAGCTGCTTGGGTGTGAGCCTAAGCAAACTGGCCTCCACCCTCTCTCACTTCCCTCCCAGGCCCTAGCCCCCAGCTCCCACTCCCATCAAGTAATCAATGCATCAGTAAATGTCATTCTCTACACCCCCGACCTGCTTTCTCCCCCTCTACACCCAGACTCTTGTGTATAAGTCTGTAAAAACGTTTGTAGCCTGAAGAATTTTTCATTGTGACTTATAAATGAATCCTAGGTTTGGTTTTTTTAAAGGAAAGAGAAAGAAATAAGGGAAACAGAGGCTTAACTCCAGCCCTTGGCTTGGATCCTTGATCTTGGATCTCAGCTTTAGCTCAGCCCAGAACAAGAGAAGGACGGTGTTGCTCATGTCCCGTCCTAATCCTCACTTCTACCCTGCCAGAAAAAGTGGACTGATTCTGGCCTCGTTTACCAATGCTCATCCTAAACCAGATGTCCAAGTACAGCACCCCTGCTCACGACCTTAATTGACGTCCCTCTACTCCCCCAATGTCCCCCAAGACCCAAACACAAAGTCCAAATCCTCTTTCCAGGACCTTTGGATCTCCTAATCACTGCTCTCCTTCCAGGGCCTAATTGTCCTACACTAGAACTCTACCATCCCCCAAGGCCCAAGTGTCCTGCCATTCTCCACCCAAATCGATAGACCAAGACATTAACCTGACCCTTCTTCACACACTGACCTCTAATAATAATTTTAGTCTCTCTCCCCCAAGAACTCTCTCTAATGTACCACTGATCAGCCCGTCCCAGGACTTTGAAACCCTACAGTGGAGGAATAGGCACAGGCACCAGCATGAGGATATTTCTCTCCTGCCCTCCCTCCGCTTGTTCCCCATTCCCTTTTTCCATTACCCACCCTGCCATGGCTCCCCCCAAGCCAAGTCAAGCTAAGAAGCAGCAGCAGCAGAAGACTGGGGATGGTCGACGATTTCATGTTCCTGCAGCTTGGGACTGACTGCTCCAACCTTCCGGCCCTCAGTCTTTATACCTGGGAAGGCTGGGGAGTACCTGCCTCCCCTATGACTCACAGCTTTCCCTCTGTACCCTAACCCCCACCTCCACCCAGGGTTGCTTAAACCAGCAAAGGAGGTAAGTAGGGCAGGGGGCTGAGTCAGCGAGTTGTTGGCCAAGGCTGTTCAGATTCCTGAGACCCACACTGCCCATGCCCAAAGTGAGGGACCCTAGCCTCCTTACCTCAGTGATCATTTGCCAGTTGATGTAAGGTGTGTTGTGTTTGAAATCCTACAGGGAGAGGGAGAAAAAAGTGATGGTTCACAGGAAGGCAGAGAACCCGATTCGCGGGAAAGGACCTGGGTGTGAGGGGTAGAGAGTTGGGCATAGCCTTGGAGATTGGCACTAGGCGCCATGTTTGGATGAAGTACAAAGTGAAGATGAGAGATAAGGATGTGGAGGTAGTTAGTGAAAGTTATTGTCAGATGGCAGAATAATGAGGGAATTAAAAATAGAGTTGGTCTGAGTCTTAGGAAATGACATCGAGGAGATCATGAGAGATGGGGAATTAATTAAACAGAGGACAGCCACATTTGGAAAGGAGAGGGGCTTGACTGAAGGGGCCCAGAGGTTCTTGAGGCTTCTCCTACCTCCCAGAGCCGTCTTAAGTAAAGGAAGGCCCGAGTACTGGGGCGTGGGAAGTGACGCTGTGGAGGAAAAGTAGGAAGCAAATTAGTGGGGAGCCCTACTCCCTACTCCTTTCAGGACAATATATGTGGTTTTCCCTGAGATTTCTTGCCCCCCCAACACACACACACACATACACACACACACACACACACCCCCCCCATTCCCCAATACCCCATTCCATCAACAGTCTTTCATAAGACTTTCATAAGACTTAGGAGGAGTTGGATACACAGACAGCTTGGAGCCTTTAAGGGAGAGGTGGTGGACTGAATGAATATAGGAACCTCAGTTCTGGGCAGTGAAGTGGAAAGGAAGATGGGAGAGGCCAAGGCAGACAGCACTATTATCCCACACTCATCACCCACATTCTTTGCTTTGGATTCCCCCCCCCCAACACCTCTCCATTGTAAAAGGAATAAGTCCTAGAGGGAGAGCTCAGTGGTGAGACCTCTCTGCCCAGTGCTTTCCTCCACTGTTGACCCCAGCTCCCCATCCCAAATCTTGGCACCTCACTCTTCCCCTCCAGCCCTCTCCCCCTTAAACATTAAAAAGGCGGCAAGAAAGAGCAGAGACCGGGAGTACAGGGGAGCTGTGGTTTATTTAAAGGAGATGGGGATGTTCTCATTTTAGGGGATTTGGGAGTGGGGCCTGAGGGTCCCATCCATCTGGCAACTCCTCATCTGGAAATCACGGGATGCGAAAGCTCCTCTGGTCCTGGGCAAAAAAATAGGCTCTGAGAGAGAAAGCTCTGGGGTGGGGTGGGGGGGTGGGAATTCTAGGAAGGATGGACTATGAAGTAGATGGGGCCATGGTTGGAACCCTGGTCCAGAACCTCCCCAGTGATGCCCTGTTGGCCATCACGTCTGAAGCAAAATTTCCATCATTAACCTAAAAGGCCTCTTCACGATAGGAGGGCATCCTGACCTGATCTGTTCCTAATCTCCCATATCCCAACCCTTCATTCCCACTGTGGAACCTTCTGTCAAATGGCTTCCTCCTCAGGAACATTCCCCTCATCTCCTCCATAAGCTCCACCCCATAGAAAGCCTTCTCTCAATGTTTTTTTTTTTTTGACCACTTCTCTCCCTTGCATTCTGGGATTTATTTTCATTGTAGTTGTTTACATTTAATGTGACATTCTGTTCATATCTGTACATCTCTTTCATGAGTGTATGTTATATGGGAGTGTGTGTGTGTGTGTGTGCTGTCTCCCTAACCAGACTACAGACTCTTCTAGTTTATGTGGTCCCCAAGGGACCCTATCTCCCTATTAGACCAGAAGCTCCCTGGAAGTGGGTCCTGTGTCTTCTCCATCAGACTAGGCATTCTGTGAGAGCAGGACTGAAACTCCTCAATTCTCTGTCTCCTACTTGGAATTGCCCATGTGTCCTCCTCCCTTTAGTCTTTGAGAAATCCTCCCACTCGGTCCATTTCCCTGAGTTGTGAGTAGGTGATCACCTTCCAAATGCATCAATCAACTCAAAATGCCCAGGCCAGTACAGGTTGCTTCCAAGAAGGAAGTGGGGCATGGTCCAGATATCTGAGTTTCTGGTATGATGTGCTCCTACTCATGTATGTCCTGGCTCCCAGTCCTGACCAGCTATGCCACACTCCATACGTAGCATCATAGGGACCACATGCGCCATTCCCCTCATTTTCTCTGAGAA